AAAAACGAAGTGATTTAAGACCAAAATTTTTGCTAAATCATAGAATAATAATCAAACAAATTAAATTGTCACGTTTTATTTACAACGTTAAATGATATATTTACACATTTACACACAAATGATATATTTACAATATAAACAAAATCTTAACAATAATTCTAAATGAATAGATTAAATTATTTATAATATTTCAAAGCAACATGTTGCTGGCAACAATATTGAAAAGAGTTTTACGCTACGCAAATCTAAATTTTGCTGGAAATTTTCTTACATAAAATAATAACTAACAAATAATTGCAATCAATATTTGTATTTTGTGTTTAGCAACATGTTGCTGAACACATTTTTTAGAAATTATTTAAAATAAATGAATAATAGCATTTAAATGCAATATACAAAACTATTTTTGACATAATAATACTTATTTTTAATAATTTTAAACAAATAGTAGATAATTTTTACCAGCAACATGTTGCTAGCTAGATTTTAAAGTCACCAAAATTTATTTAAATAATATTTGCAATTTCTTTAAATAATATTTTACAGATATATGCTGCCTTATAATGTACAAAATTATGGCTATTTTTCTGCAATAAACTTCACTAGCAACATGTTGCTGCTCATAATATGCCCTAAACTTGCTTAGTAAACATCTTTGCCTTATTTTAACATGTTCAATATTTCCATTCACAAAAATTCTTAAATATGCAAATTTCTCCCATAATTTCTTAACCAAATTTCTTTGTGAAAATAAACTTTAATTTAACCAACTAAAACAAAAAAAAAAAAAAAAAAAAAAAAAAAAAATGAGGTCATATCACCGCTGCAATTTTTTTCCTCATAAATACATATTATTATATATTTTTTTGTTTCTTTAGCTCTGTCTCTCTGGTTGATGACACTGCATAATTTCGGTGCATGATTTCTTAAATAAAACAAAACATTTTAACATGACAATGTACAAATTATGTATTAAAAGACTCGCTGAGTTTTGTGTCATTTAAAAAGCGGTAAATTGTAATTTTTTTTCACAATTTTTCCTAAATTTTGTTAGTGTCACAATTAAAGTGTTAAATAGGGAAACCAACCATCCGAATAGTTAAGCCAACCAGCAAAATACATGCACATTCATGTTTGGAACGGAACAAAATGTTGCTAGAAAAAAAAATAGGCGACTCGAGATAAAACAAAAATCGTGTAAGGAAAAGGAAATTCGTACAGTGTGTTACAGTGGTTTGAGAGAGTCATTTAAAGAGACCAAAAGAGAAGGACAACTCAAACAGGAAAATGTTAAGCTCTATTTCTATTAATGTGATCTATAGACTATACTATAGATTAGAATATATACTAGACTAAAGATAAGACTGTAGACTAGACTATGGACTAGACTATAGACTAGACTATAGACTAGACTATAGACTAGACTATAGACTAGACTATAGACTACACTATAGACTACACTATAGACTAGACTATAGACTAGACTATAGACTAGACTATAGACTACACTATAGACTAGAGTATAGACTAGACTATAGACTAGACTATAGACTAGACTATAGACTAGACTATAGACTAGACTATAGACTAGACTATAGACTAGACTATAGACTAGACTATAGACTAGACTATAGACTAGACTATAGACTAGACTATAGACTAGACTATAGACTAGACTAGACTATAGACTAGACTATAGACTAGACTATAGACTAGACTATAGACTAGACTATAGACTAGACTATAGACTAGACTATAGACTAGACTATAGACTAGACTATAGACTAGACTATAGACTAGACTATAGACTAGACTATAGACTAGACTATAGACTAGACTATAGACTAGACTATAGACTAGACTATAGACTAGACTATAGACTAGACTATAGACTAGACTATAGACTAGACTATAGACTAGACTATAGACTAGACTATAGACTAGACTATAGACTAGACTATAGACTAGACTATAGACTAGACTATAGACTAGACTATAGACTAGACTATAGACTAGACTATAGACTAGACTATAGACTAGACTATAGACTAGACTATAGACTAGACTATAGACTAGACTATAGACTAACTATAGACTAGACTATAGACTAGACTATAGACTAGACTATAGACTAGACTATAGACTAGACTATAGACTAGACTATAGACTAGACTATAGACTAGACTATAGACTAGACTATAGACTAGACTATAGACTAGACTATAGACTAGACTATAGACTAGACTATAGACTAGACTATAGACTAGACTATAGACTAGACTATAGACTAGACTATAGACTAGACTATAGACTAGACTATAGACTAGACTATAGACTAGACTATAGACTAGACTATAGACTAGACTATAGACGAACTATAGACTAGACTATAGACTAGACTATAGACTAGACTATAGACTAGACTATAGACTAGACTATAGACTAGACTATAGAATAGACTATTGACTAGACTATAGACTAGACTATAGACTAGACTATAGACTAGACTATAGACTAGACTATAGACTAGACTATAGACTAGACTATAGACTAGACTATAGACTAGACTATAGACTAGACTATAGACTAGACCTATAGACTAGACTATAGACTAGACTATAGACTAGACTATAGACTAGACTATAGACTAGACTATAGACTGGACTATAGACTAGACTATAGACTAAATTATAGACTAGACTATAGACTAAAAAAATCGTTGAGCGTAAACATCATTAAACTATTTTTCTTCGTGTACTAACATTTATAGTAGTAAACATTCTTTAAATATTTATAAACTTTTAATTAGAAAATTTTATTAAGAAATTAATTTTACATAAAATCAGGTCATTGATTTCAGAATATTAACAAAAATACCACATAACAGTCTAAAAAACCACTGTTCCCATTTCTATTTTAGATTTTTTTGTTTAGAAAAACAAATCAAAATCTAAAATTGCAATTAAAACCGCATAAATGTTAACTCTCGAATAATGTTTAAACAAAATGCATTCGTTTGGAACGGTTAAAACCAGAGTGAAAGATACATTTATAGAAAGAGAGTAAGGGAGATATGGAGAGAGTAGGTATAAAAACATCAATAGTTAAACTTAAAACAAAACTAACATATTACCCTAGGCACTTCGCTACTTTAATCTAATGAAAAAAGTTCTTTGTATTAGTCTAACATTAGACAAAAATTCCAAAGTATCTTTTTAGGAAAGAAAAAGTACCAAAAAGTTGCCTCTTATAGATTGTTACAATCTGTAGTCTTATTTTCATTATATTATAGACTAGACTATAGACTAGACTATATACTAGACTATAGACTAGACTATAGACTAGACTATAGACAAGACTATAGACTAGACTATAGACTAGACTATAGACTAGACTATAGACTAGACTATAGACTAGACTATAGACTAGACTATAGACTAGACTATAGACTAGACTGTAGACTAGACTATAGACTAGACTAGAGACTAGACTATAGACTAGACTAGAGACTAGACTAGACTAGAGACTAGACTAGACTAGAGACTAGACTAGAGACTAGACTAGACTATAGACTAGACTATAGACTAGACTATAGACTAGACTATAGACTAGACTATAGACTAGACTATAGACTAGACTATAGACTAGACTATAGACTAGACTATAGACTAGACTATAGACTAGACTATAGACTAGACTATAGACTAGACTATAGACTAGACTATAGACTAGACTATAGACTAGACTATAGACTAGACTATAGACTAGACTATAGACTAGACTATAGACTAGACTATAGACTAGTCTAGTCTATAGTCTAGACTATAGACTAGACTATAGACTAGACTATAGACTAGACTATAGACTAGACTATAGACTAGACTATAGACTAGACTATAGACTAGACTATAGACTAGACTATAGACTAGACTATAGACTAGACTATAGACTAGACTATAGACTAGACTATAGACTAGACTATAGACTAGACTATAGACTAGACTATAGACTAGACTATAGACTAGACTATAGACTAGACTATAGACTAGACTATAGACTAGACTATAGACTAGACTATAGACTAGACTATAGACTAGACTATAGACTAGACTATAGACTAGACTATAGACTAGACTATAGACTAGACTATAGACTAGACTATAGACTAGACTATAGACTAGACTATAGACTAGACTATAGACTAGACTATAGACTAGACTATAGACTATAGACTAGACTAGACTATAGACTAGACTAGACTATAGACTAGACTAGACTATAGACTAGACTAGACTAGACTAGACTAGACTAGACTAGACTATAGACTAGACTAGACTATAGACTAGACTAGACGATTATAGACTAGACTATAGACTAGACTATAGACTAGACTATAGACTAGACTATAGACTAGACTATAGACTAGACTATAGACTAGACTATAGACTAGACTATAGACGAGACTATAGACTAGACTATAGACGAGACTATAGACTAGACTATAGACTAGACTATAGACTAGACTATAGACTAGACTATAGACGAGACTATAGACTAGACTATAGACTAGACTATAGACTAGACTATAGACTAGACTATAGACTAGACTGTAGACTCGACTATAGCCTAGGCATTGTACTAGACTATTGCCTATAGACTGACCAATTGACTACAATATGGACTACTTATCAAAAGTTTATATATTTGAAATAGATATCAAAAAGTATTAAAGTACCGAATTTTCCATGCCTGATACATATACATGTGTATATAAATTACAAGAGTTTTGTAAATCTCCTATAACACCGCATAAGAAAGTACAAAAATAATAAATTATTTATACATAAAAAAATGAAATAAACATAAATATTTCTTTATTTTCATAATTTTCAGTTTATTATTAATAATTTTTCTGAAATTTTTCTTTAACGTTATGGTATAGTGGGTTTTTCAAAAAACAGTTATGTTAAACTTAAGCAAAACATTAAATGTAAACTTACCTTTAAAGCAGTTTAAAGATGTAATGAAATAAACAGATACAAAAATGTATCTGTAATAAATTCTAGATGAAAAATGTTAGATGATTGCTATCCAATTGTTTAAGCAAATTTTTTTCAATTACACTTTAGGTTTTTATAAAAATATATTTATGATTCTGATTTCTTGAGTATGATAAATTTTGGCACTTGCTTTTTAGTATTGATTTATAATTTTCTATTTTAGTTGTGATTTATGTAAATGCTGATGTTTTAATTTAGATACATAGATTTTTTTTTATTTTGGTATCTGGTAAATAAATTTTAAGGCTAGAAATACACTATTTATTATATATTTATATTTTTTACAATTTTTCTTTAAATTTCTGTATTGATTTTTTTTAATTTTTTGCATTTAAAGAAATTTTTGTTTCCATAAATTTAGAACAATATTTAACCACCCCACGAATGAAAACAATTTTTCTCTAACACGCACACTAAACTGTGTTTTTTTTTTTTTTTTTTTTTGGTCGACACAACAAAAAATAACAAAAAATGTTTGTATCCGTTGGATACCGAAAACTACTTGCAGTGTATAAAATTCACAACAAATAATCAACTATGAGAAAAAAAAAATCAGGGGAACGAGTAAAGCGTCAAAAAGTCATAAAAGCAATTTACAGCTTGAAAGGTCATTTGTCCTGAAAAATAACAAAGAAAGGCAAAAACAAATCCGCAACCCTTAAAATTTAGCAAATGTGTATCTTCAAATAAAAGATAAAAATTTATTTGTAGATAACAAACACACACAACAAAGGGAATCTTTTAAATTCTAAAAATTCCTTTTATGTACTTTCTTATTGCCGCTTTTGATTTGTTGTCAATAAACCCAGAATGGCAGGCTGCACATGTCAAATTTTATTAACCCACCCTGTTTTGTTCCTGGTAATTACTTGTTCTAATTTTTGTTGTATCTCTTAGATACACAGGTGTTCTAGGTAATTATTTGTATCTTCTACAAAAAGATTCATTAAAATTTTCATTTATTAACATTATGGTTTTATTATTGTTGTATTTTTTGTTTGTTTTGTTATTATGTATTTGTTTTTAACTAACTCATTTTGTTAAATATTTAAATTTTGTATCTTTTAGTTACTTGTATTTTTTGTTTGTTTTGTTTTTCATCCGCTTTAACGTTTTTAACGAACTCTACCGTTTGATATACTCCGTTCAACTGTTTATTTTGTTGTTAACTAAATGCTCTCTCATTACGTTGTTTTTCTCCACGTTACGTTATCACGTAATTTTCTATCTCTCTGCCCCTCAGCGAAAAATTAAACTAATAAAGTGTCTTTGAAAAGCGTACATTTAATTTTTTCATCACACATAGATGGCGCATATTGTCAAAAACATAAATTGTAAGCAGAGCCTAGTATACAGTAGGGTTTATAAATCGACTTTCGAATAATCGAACAATCGACTTTTTGTCGAGAAAAGTCGAAAAGTCGAAGTCGACTATTTTGTTCCAAAAAAGTCGATAACTCGACTATCGTCTACAAAAAAAGTCGAAAAGTCGACTTTGTAAATAAAAGTCGAAAAGTCAAAAAATCGGAAAGTCGAAAAAAGTTGAAAAGTCGATAAGTCGGAAAAAGTCGAAGAAAGTCGAAAAAAGTCGAAAAGTCGAAAAAAGTCGAAAAGTCGAAAAGTCGAAAAAAGTCGAAAAGTCGAAAATTTTAAAAAAGTGGAAAAGAGGTCAAAGACTCTAAAATAGTCGGAAAAATTCGAAAAAAGTAAAAAAAATAGTCGAAAAAAGTCGAAATAAATCGAAAATAGTCAAAATGTCGTAAAAAATCAAAAAGTCAAAAAGTCGGAAAAAGTCGGAAAAAGTCGAAAAAAGTCGAAAAGTCGAAAAAAGTCGGAAAAAGTCGAAAAGTCGGAAAAAGTCAAAAAGTCGACCATTTATAAAATACTAAAAGTCGAAAAGTCTAAAAGTCGACTTTTAAATAAATGAAAAAGGTCGAAAAGTCGAAAAATCTACTTTTCATAAAATGGAAAAAGTCGAAAAGTCGACTTTTAACTAAATGCAAAAAGTCGAAAAGTCGACTTTTCGTTTCAACTATAGAACCCTAGTATACAGACGTCTTTGAGTTTCCAGAATGTCAAATCACATATGAAAAAAATTTGACATTTATTGAAACCACATAGATGTATTTTCCACAAATTGTCACACGCTGTCACCTCATTATTCAAATTGCTGCGAATTTGCAGATTTGGCTGTGCACCTCACACAAATACGTGTATTTCTTATGGGAACTAGGCCGCTGCGTATCCCTAGGGCGACTTTTATTTGGCGCAGCACATAAAAAATGATATTGCAGAATGCTCCTGCTCTCTTCTGTCTTTTCCAGAGAATTTATTAAATAACTTTTTTATTTTAAATAAAGGACATTTAAATATAAAAAATGTCGTTATTTTTCTAATACCCTTCGCTAACAGTATGGCAACATTCCACCACTTGCAATAGCACACCTGTTTTTGTTTGTTTTTATTTTTTACCACCCGCTACAAGTGTGTTGAATATAAACAGCTGGCGCAGAAATTCAACACAACAACGAACGTCAATACAAAATATAACCACAAGAAAAGATTTAAACAAAAAAGAAGGGAGAAAAGTGTAAAGTTTTTTTTTTTTGTATTGTTTTAGCAAACACTTTTTTTGTTCAGAAGAAAACAGACAGAATTTTTGAGAAAAATTGATTTTGCGGAAAGAAAAGAAAGAAATTGTGTAAAATTTACAGAATAAATAGAAGAATAATTGTGGAAAAATAGTGCAATATTATAAAATAAAATGGTAATTAGTGTAAAGATTTGCAGATTTACACACACACAAATTGAAATTTACAACAAAAATGTGTAAAAATTGAATTATGAAAATGAAAAGATTTTCTTTGCTGTTCAGGGCAGAGTAGTAGAAAAAAATAAGCAATAGATACAAATTTAAGCATGAAACGACGATGACAGGAAGGAAGTAAAATGGTAGTGATTTATTGATTTTTTACAAGAAAAAATTTCATTAATTTCAATAAAATTCTAATAGAAAAGTGTAAAAAATTAAAGTTTTACTTTTTTGGCAAGTAATGAATGTTTCTTCCTCATCATCATATATACTTTTTTCTTCGCATTTTAATGATTCGCAAATCTTTTATAGAGTTTTTTTTTCATTTCTTTTTTGCAATAAAAAATTTTTCCTCTTGCTGTTAATACCTTTCTTATTTCACTCCTTTGCAAGAAGGGGGTGGACTGAAGGTGTATATATTAATTGTGTACTCTTTTTTTTTGTGGGAGGCCTAAGGATGGATTTTGAAGGGAACTTGTTTGCTAATGGCAAAAAAAATAATAATGAAACAAAGGTGTAGTTATGGTTTTGCTTGTATTTTCGTTGTTGCGGATTTTTTTAATTCTTATATATTTATGTAGTAATGAATGTGTATATCCATCCATCCAGTTTGCTTGGCTGCAATTTTTTCCACCCATTTCTTTTTCGTTTATAATACCAGTCAGCCAACCAGCCATTCACTTCATCAGCCTCCCATAGCTGTAGCCTACCACCTTCTACTTTAACGTCGTTGTTGTTGTTTCTCTGTTCTGTTTGTTCATCTAATGATGCTGCGAATGTTACTGCAACATCATCGTTTATTTAATGCATACGAGTACAGGGTATGACAGCATGGCAAGTTATTTCATCCTGGGAACAAATTTACCGACAACTCTACTAATTCGTATACCTATAATGGAAAATAATAAATTTATAAAAAATTTATCACTTTTAATAATTTTCAAAAATTTCTTTTTTTGGTGGAAATTTTTTTTTATTATTGAAAATTTTCATAAATTTATATTTAAAGAAAATTTGCGAATCCTTTTTAAGAAAATTTTTTAAAATTCCATAATTTTTAGATTTTTTAGATTTTTTTTAATTTCTTTTTTATTTTTGAAATTCTCTATATTATACATTTTTTTCGAAAATTTCCCTTTTTTATAATAAATACAAAATTTCTATTTTACATAGAAAATTTTCGAAAAATTCTTTTATATAGAAAATTTATGTAAATTTCTGTTTCATATAGAAATTTTTCGAAAATTTAGCTTTCATATAAAAACGAGAATTTTTGAAAATTCTCTTTGATGGAAAAATTTTGAAATATTCTTTTTTTATAGATTTTTTATAGAAACATTTGGGAAAATTCTTTTTTATAGAAAATTTTGAAAAAAAAATTTTTTATAGAAATCTTTTGAAGACTTCTTTTTATACCATCCACCTTCGTAAGACAGGTATATGTATATTAGTTTGTCAAGTATCCGAATGATACATCTCATCATATACCCAATCTTTGCATTATCAGCTCAATACCAACATTTTATTAATCCACAGCCTTGCCCTGTGGTTTGTACCGCCCCTAGAAAATCCTAGAAACAGAAACTTATACCGAAAATTTATAATTCACCGTGTATCAATCTTTTAACCAAGCACCCCCTTTCCACGAATTTGGGTTTAAACCACAGCCACTGCGTGGGTCCCTAAAGTACCTCTAGCAACTGACCAGCCAGAAGAAGTCCTGCGGCAACTGGTCATCCGTAGTAGCAGGTTATGTTCTGCTCTGGTTAGACCCGTGTTAAATCATCCAAGAGCTAGCCAGGAAGTGAAATATCATTGACAGTTTATAGTCCCGGCAGACTAGAGGTATGGTGCACCTCTTTACCCTGGGAATGCAATACACCAAGATGAGGGTCTTTCATCAAGGAAACATACCCCGGAGCGTGTCTGTGTGTATGTTGAAAACAATTTTCAGAAGACCGCAGATATCTGCGATATCCGAATCTTCAATAATTTTATCAGACATACGTTTGGGAAGAACGCTATTTAAAATCAGCGAAATCTTTCCATAAATAACGGAGACATATGCAAAAATCCCAGACAACCTCTGAAAGTTTCATAAAAATTGAGATTTTTGGTGCATACTGGACAGAAATTATAAACAGACAACACACATAATCATACGGTCAATTTTGTTCTTGTACTTGTTTGTTTATAAAAACAAAGCTGAGCAAGAAGCAGTGTGTTGTTATTGGCTTAGAAACATGAAATTTACTTTGTAGAGTCCGGAGTAAATGGGAACCTATAAAAGGGGATATTTTGGTACTTTTTCCTTCTTCAAAAGGTACCTTTTGAATAATATTGAACCTAGAAACAAAAAAAATTTTGCATGTAAAGAATAGATTAAGGGAGAACCTATAAAATTGAACTTTTTGGTACTTTTTTGTCTTCAAAAGGTATTGGTACTTTTTCGTTATACGAAAGGTACTTTTTGAATTTTCTATAATAGAAACATGAAATTAAGCTTGTAAAGCCCGGATTTTGTGAGAACCTATAAAAGGGGATTTTTAGGTAAAAATGAGAACCAATAAAGGGGTCTTTTTGGTACTATTTCGGTAACATTATTTATGGTGCACGGTATATAAGAGTCGACATAGCTGAGTATAGAACTCTTACTTCTTTTATAGAAATTTATTATTTTAAAAATTTAGCTTTAAAGAAAATTTTAGATAAAATTTATATTTATAGGAAATTTTCAACAATTTTTGTTTTTTTTTTTTTTATTTGCGCAAATTTTTTATTAAATAACAACTCTTCATAGAATCTCCTTTATTCATACAAATTTATCCATATACACAATATAGATGTTTTGAATTTTTGTGTGCATACTACCCAAAATCCTCCCAGCATATAGTCTGTTCTTTGCTTTGCTTTTGTTGTATTATCCTTTTTGTATTTTAGTTTTTTTAGAGGCCAAGTTTACGAGAAAAATATTATTGAATGACTGCATTCTTGAGTGGTACTACGACAGACTGTAGTACTCAGTCTGCTGGCAGGCAATGGTTGATATTATTGTAACATTATAATGTAGTTGCAGTAATGTATCCATAGATTTATCTGTGCTAAAGGATTTTCTTACAATATGCCTAGCCTAACTGTTTATTTTCATTTGCTTTGTTTTCCGTTTTTCATTTGACTTAATCTTCGAAATGACATTGGGGGAGGTTGTATGGAATATTTCTCTTTTTTGATTTTTATATACTGTGTTGTGTATTCTTATTAATGAATCAATTTTAAGTTTGTTTTGGATTGGTGTTTTTTTTTAACAGTCTTTGTTTTAAGATTTATTACATTTTGTAATAAATTTGTAAAAGGAATGTAAACAGAGTATTCGACAAAATAAAAAAATCAATGATTCATAATTCGATTAAGCTTCTAAATAGTGTGATATTTAGAATTAGAAGTTACAAGTTAAGTACATTATGAATGACATAAGTCATTTAAGTCAATTAAATTTTTGTTTAAATGTATGGATCTAATTGCTGAATGGGTTTTGTTTGTATGTTGGGTTAGATGTATGTATGTATGAATATGAAGCTTAGTTATTGCTGATGCATTTTAATTATGATAAATAGCGACATAGTTCTGTTGTATATAATGTTTATTATTCAAAGCACATGTTTAAAGATTACTCATCATTACTATGGGGAGTGGAGTTTATTAGCAAAATAGAGTTTCTAATAATCTGTCAATTAGGATTAATTTCTACTGAATGAGAACACTATTGAAGAGAAAAAAGTATTTAACAACTGTGGATTCTCTTTTTATAGAAAATGTTTGTTAATCTCATTTTTAATAGCAAATGTTGAATAATTTCTCCATTTACATAAAATTTTCGATAATTTTTTATAGAACATTTTAATAAAATTTCCTTTTTTATAGAAAATTTTCGACAAACGCTGTTTATTAATAAGAAGATTTCGAAGACATCTCTTTAATAGAACATTTTCGATAAAATTTCGGAAAGTTAAACTGAACTAGAACTGACTTAGAACAGACTTAGAACAGACTTAGAACAGACCTAGAACATAACCGAACTAGAACTGAACTAGAACTGAACTAGAACTGAACTAGGACTGAACTAGAACTGAACTAGAACTGAACTAGAACTGAACTTGAACTGAACTAGAACTGAACTAGAACTGAACTAGAACTGAACTAGAACTGAACTAGAACTGAACTAGAACTGAACTAGAACTGAACTAGAACTGAACTAGAACTGAACTAGAACTGAACTAGAACTGAACTAGAACTGAACTAGAACTGAACTAGAACTGAACTAGAACTGAACTAGAACTAGAACTGAACTAGAACTGAACTAGAACTGAACTAGAACTGAACTAGAACTGAACTAGAACTGAACTAGAACTGAACTAGAACTGAACTAGAACTGAACTAGAACTGAACTAGAACTGAACTAGAACTGAACTAGAACTGAACTAGAACTGAACTAGAACTGAACTAGAACTGAACTAGAACTGAACTAGAACTGAACTAGAACTGAACTAGAACTGAACTAGAACTGAACTAGAACTGAACTAGAACTGAACTAGAACTGAACTAGAACTGAACTAGAACTGAACTAGAACTGAACTAGAACTGGACTAGAACTGGACTAGAACTGAAATAGAACTGAACTAGAACTGAACTAGAACTGAACTAGAACTGAACTAGAACTGAACTAGAACTGAACTAGAACTGAACTAGAACTGAACTAGAACTGAACTAGAACTGAACTAGAACTGAACTAGAACTGAACTAGAACTGAACTAGAACTGAACTAGAACTGAACTAGAACTGAACTAGAACTGAACTAGAACTGAACTAGAACTGAACTAGAACTGAACTAGAACTGAACTAGAACTGAACTAGAACTGAACTAGAACTGAATTAGAACTGAACTAGAACTGAATTAGAACTAAACTAGAACTAAACTAGAACTGAAAATTCTCTTTTTGTAATATTTTTTTAAAATTCTCATTGTTTTAAAAAATTTAGCAAAAATTGTATTTTTTAGAAAATTTTGCAAAAATTATATTTTTTTCAAATTTTTTAAAAAATTTTCATTTTGTTGAAAATTTTCCAAAAAACCTCTGTGATAAGTTAATGTTTCTTTAAATAATTTTTTTTTTGAAAAATTGTTTTAAAAATTCTTTAAATTATAAAAAATATTTTTAATGGAAAATTAAAAAAACCATTACATATTTAATTAAAAATTTTCAAAATATATGTTACTATATATTTTCACTCTTATTTTAGAAAAATATATTTTTTTTTTTAATTTCACTCTTTATAGAAAAATTCTATTATATTTCCTTCAATATTCCAATAATGTTGGTCTCAAAGCAATAAACTTTGTAAGCTCTAAAGTTCAATGTTCTTTACATATTCTAATATTTTCTTGAATTTTATATAATTTCCTACTGTTACATCTTTTAATTTTTCTTTCATTTTTTCTTTCCTTAACAGTGAATAAATCCAAATGCGATATTTAATTTGACATAAGAAAGCAGATTAATCCCACTACAACAATGAAATTCAATTAACAAAACAAATGTGAAAAGGTGAAAAAATCTACAAATATTAGAATTTCTAAAAAGAAACAAAAACAACTTGAACAAAGAAAATATGTCTTCATGGACAAAAAGGAATATAAAAATAAACAATAATAAGAGAAATAAAAAATTTAAAATCAATTAACTTTAGATTCTAAATAAACACTTTCTACTACTCAACTCTATTCTACTTCAATGATATTTTCCACATAATACTTGGAAGTCAATAAAACCATAGAAGAACTTAAGGAAAATTGTATGGAATTCTATAGACAAAAACAAAATACAATTTAAATCAATCACTTTAAGAAAATATACACACAGTAAATAAGGATTAGTAACAACATGAACAGTAGTAGTAGTTCAGATATTCCAACAACAACATCGGCAGCAGCATTAGAATTGAAAAACAGTCTAAACAATACAACAGCAACAACAATACAACGTAGCAGCAACAATAATAGTAATAGTTATGCTTCAAACATGCAGCAACCACCACAACAACACCCCACAACTTTGGGTGAATTGTATCATGCCGGCTCGACTGTCACAGGCAGCTTAAATAATGGTACTAGTATTAGCAATAATAAAATGCCAGCAACAGTTGAAGCTAATACTGTTTTCGCATGTGGTAGCGGTGGTGCTGGTGGAGGGTTGGTTGCGGGCATGAGTGCAAGTGTTAGTGGTGCTATTTGTAATGTCAACAATATTGCAGCAGTAGCACAAACAACAGCAACAACAACTAATAGCAGTACTAGCAGCATTAGTGTGCATGATAACAGGCAATCAATAAATAATGGAGGAGCAGCAGCAGCATCATTGAGTGGCCTTATGGTTGGTAGCTGTGGTGTTATAGGCAGTGGGGGTGTTGGTATGGCTGGTATTGGCTCTAAGCCTCAAGAACGTTATGTATGGGAAATGCGTGCGCGCAGTCCTAATGTTACCCCAGCCAGTACGGTACTTAATTCACCAGATCTAAATACAGACATGCAGTACAGCATACATCCTCATCAGAGACAGTTGCAACAAATACGTGTTGGTCGCAGTCCTGGTAGTCAATTCGAACAACATAATATACTGCCACAGGTGGGTGTTATTCACATTTGATAATCACTTCTCCTCTTCCTCTATATGATTGTCTATTTAATGTATATAAAACTTTGTTAACTTTTGATTTATAATATTTTTTTATTTATTTTAGGGCCTGGCCTCTCCAGGTTCTCCTACAGATGTTGGCAAAGCCGATGGCCAGTGTTTAAGAGACGGTGAAATTGTGGTCTTCGATGACATCGATACCAATTGGATGAATAAGTCCAACAATTCATATTCTTCGAATCATTCTAATCATGTACGCGATTCATATCATGGAAATGAGGATATACTCAAAGTAACCAAAATGATTGGTCAACTACCCATTGCCGAATATGAGGGTTCACCTAGACGTTTTGGCAATCAACCTCCAGCAATGAAATCAAATTCAACGAATGCCTCCGGCAATAATATGGTGCCCAAAAGACCTCCCGGGTTTCCACAACGTGTCTCGCCGATGACATCATTAACACCCCAACAACAGCAGCAACAACATCAAGAAGCTGCTCATGCTCGACATCAGCAAATGCAACAGCAACATCAATTCTATGCTCAAGCCACTAGTAGTGGCAGTTGTACTAATTCCTCCATCTATAACAACGATGCTAATAACAAATCAATTGGTAATCTTATAGACATCGATGCTGATGATGAGGATATGATGGTCTCTTCATTGGCCGCACAACAATCGCAAACGCAATCACAACAGACGCCAACCACTTCATCTTCATCCACAACTCACAACAACAATAATGATTTGTCGTCATCGTCAAAGTGCACCAAAGTTAAGACTCCTACATTTGATTATTTATATGAATTTTCAGAAACTCGCAAAGTGTTAGAGGAATTTTTTAAAGCCAATCCAGAGGACGAAAAACGTTTTACGGATTTTACTGAGAGTGGTGATGATATGGGTAGTTGTGTATGTATTTTTTATGTTTTATGTGAGACAATAGAATATGTTTTTTATTAAGGATATTTGTTTGCAGGATACCCATCATGAGTATATGCATCATCACGACGATGAAAATAAACATATCGAATCGGCCTATATTGGTCAACGTTTAGCTAGAATACCCAAAGAAGAATTATATATGGTGCATCGTTCTCCTACTAAGAAACAGGTGAGTTGATTTTAATAGTATTTTGTAATAGAAAATAAATAAAAAAAGTCCATGAAAATACATACTAGGATCTGATCCAAATTGCTGTTAGTTGATTTAACAGCGTTTATTAGAATAATTTCTCTTAATATACGAAATCGTAAGAGTTTTAGAAAGTATTACATTTTCGATTTCCCATACATGGATATTATTTGTTGCTATGGTGCCATAGAGTTCACATTCGTTCCACATTTTTTCCTGGCGAAAAAACTTTCTGTTGATAAGCTTTCTTTGAACTGTAACTATAACTGAACTGGAACTGAACTAGAACTGAAGTAGAACTGAACTAGAACTGAACTAGAACTGAACTAGAACTAAACTAGAACTGAACTAGAACTAAACTAGAACAGAACTTGAACTAGAACTGAACTAGAACTAAACTAGAACTGAACTAGAACTGAACTAGAACTGAACTAGAACTGAACTAGAACTGAACTAGAACTGAACTAGAACTGAACTAGAACTGAACTAGAACTGAACTAGAACTGAACTGAACTAGAACTGAACTAGAACTGAACTAGAACTGAACTAGAACTGAACTAGAACTGAACTAGAACTGAACTAGAACTGAACTAGAACTGAACTAGAACTGAACTAGAACTGAACTAGAACTGAACTAGAACAGAACTAGAACTGAACTAGAACTGAACTAGAACTGAACTAGAACCGAACTAGAACCGAACTAGAACTGAACTAGAACTAAACTAGAACTGAACTAGAACTGAACTAGAACTGAACTAGAACTGAACTAGAACTGAAATTGAACTAGAACTGAACTTGAACTAGAACTAGAACTGAACTAGAACTGAACTAGAACTGAACTAGAACAGAACTAGAACTGGACTAGAACTAGAACTGAACTAGAACTGAACTAGAACTGAACTAGAACTGAACTAGAACTGAACTAGAACTGAACTAGAACTGAACTAGAACTGAACTAGAACTAGAACTGAACTAGAACTGAACTAGAACTGAACTAGAACTGAACTAGAACTGAACTGAACTAGAACTGAACTGAACTAGAACTGAACTAGAACTGAACTAGAACTGAACTAGAACTAGAACTGAACTAGAACTGAACTAGAAGTAGAACTGAACTAGAACTGAACTAGAACTGAACTAGAACTGAACTAGAACTGAACTAGAACTGAACTTGAACTAAACTAGAACTGAACTAGAACTGAACAAGAACTGAACTAGAACTGAACTAGAACTGAACTTGAACTGAACTAGAACTGAACTAGAATTGAACTAGAACTGAACTAGAAATTACCTAGAACTGAACTAGAACTGAACTAGAACTAAACTAGAACTAAACTAGAACTAAACTAGAACTAAACTAGAACTAAACTATAACTAAACTAGAACTAAACTAGAACTAAACTAGAACTGAACGAAAACTGAATTCGAACTAAACTAGAACTGAACTAGAACTAAACTAGAACTGAACTAGAACAGTATTAGACCTGCATCGTTGAAATCAAGGCCGAAAAATACATTTGTGCTTTGATTTTATTTCTTAAGTTTACATTTATTTCAGTCTCAGTCAATTAACTGTGAATATGTTTATACTATGTATAACCAACCTTAAACTATGTCCTACTTATAATAGAGCTAAACGAAACGAATTCTTCTATTATAAGTTCATTGTCAAATGCACAATTCCAAACTGCCATTAAAACTACAGAATTCCAATTTTATTTTTGTTTTTCTAAATACCATTCGCCGCATTTCAAATACATACGTACATGTTCTCTAAAACCCCAAGTGAGACAGCAGCAGCAAATGGAAAACGTACTATTTATATATTTATAGACCACAAAAACCAATAAATGTGTGTGTTTTTTTTTTTAAATCGAAAGAAATAGAGATTTTTTTCATATTTATTTTTGTCATTGCATATTGACAGAAACAACTACAACAACAACAACAGCAGCAGTATCAACAGCCACAACAACAACAGCAGCAGCAACAGCAGTGTGATAATAATATTGTGTATAATGACAACAACGACATTGAGCTTTATATCGATTCAAACAGTCGTAGCAGTGGTGATTTAGCTGACACAGAATTGGAGGCGAATTTACGGCATCATTCTCGGAATTTCACATTGTCTCCAGAGACAACTGATTACGATTCCAATTGTGGCGATTTAGACAGTCTTTCGAATGATATTAATTGTACCACAGACTATGGCAAATTATACACAAGTATGCCCGTTTTAGAAGATGGCCTATCAAGTGGTCATGCATCGGATACTGAAAATAATTGTCAAAATAAATACGAAACAAATGGTGATGATAATGGCAGTTGTGAGGGTGAATTAAATGAGAAACATCTACAACAACATCATCAGCAGCAGCAGCATCAGCATCAACAAGAAATGTTAGAACAAAATAAATACAATAATAGTTTGACACAAGAGTGTTTGGAGAATAATTATAGTTCCGCGGCCGTGGCCAATAATTTAATAACAAATTTGGTAAATATTGATGAAAGTGTTGGAGTTGAGGGAGGATTGAATATTGTGGGTGGTTTAATTGATGTTGATGAATTGAATACATGTAAAATATTTCAACAGCAACAACAACAACAGCATATGTTGCATCATCAGCAAAGTCAGTGTAATGATTTAATGAATACCGATAGTGGTTGTTGCAATCTAGCTTCTCTCAATACATCCAACGAATTAAGCAACGATTCTTCAAATTACGAGCCTATATATGCTACAGTTAATAAACATTCACAACAACAGCAGCAACAACAATCGCCACCACCGCCACCAGCTCCACAACCTCATCGGCAGCAGCAACAACAACAACAACAACAGATACGTGTTAAGCATCCCGGTCGCGCCGAATCAGTTGAGATACAAGAAGCCATGAAAGAAATACGTTCTGCTCTACAAAGAGCTAAAACTCAACCTGAAAAATTGAAATTTTGTGATGAAGTCTTACCTCCAGGTCCAGATTCACCCATATGGGTGCCACGTAAAAATAATGCAGATTGTAATAATATAAATTCTTCTAATAAATCACACTGTGATGAAGAAGAACAAGATACTGATCTAGAAACTGATCGTTTATTGGGACAACAAAGAACCGATGATCAGGATTTTTTTGATGATAAGGTAATAGCAACAACATATATTCTTAATAATAAATTAACTCTTCGCTTCCTTATTATTTGCAGACAATTTGGCCTAAAACCTCTCGCATAGGTTCTGGTCTCAACTCTTCCGATCATTCGCCCACTTCATCGGATATCACCAATAATTTACATCACAAACCACAGCCCTTCTCATCGGCTACCATACGCCAGGGCATAGGCACATCTTTGACACCAAATTCACCCGATCATTGTCAAATTGTGGGCGGTTCTGATGTAGCTGTAACTTCACCAGAAAAACTACAATATACTAAAAGTCCCACGGGTTCTATAAAATCTCTTAAGGATTCAGCTAATAGTGATAAAAAAGCTAAAACACGCAATAAAGAGGGTAAGTAATTGTTGTCTAGTTTTTGTTTTTATTTCTATATTTCCATATAAATGTAATTTAATTTTAATCAATAGATTTAATGTGAAAACTCTATTTCTCTTTCTCTGTCTTAATGTCTCTTCTTTTTGCACGCATACTCTCTATATAAAAAAAAAAAACTTAAATTAAACATTAATTTAAATGTGTATTCTGTCATATGAATGTTAAACAAAAAAACTCCTTGACATAATGTAAGTTTAAATAAGAACAAAAGTAATACGTTAATTAATGTTTGTCGTCATACATACGTTAGCTTTTTTTTGTTTTCTATATTTTTTATAGTTTTCTGTTTGTTTTTATGTTTATTATTATTTTTTTCTATTTTAAGTGCATTGTATGCAATTATAAATGTTAGAGATAAGTGGTAATTTATTTATTTTACAATCAGTGTATGTGTGTATTCTAATTAGTTGTGATTTTTAATGCGCCATGTAGTATAATGATACAATTTGATATCCTAAAAGAAATTTTTGTGAAATAATTATTAACCGACTTCGGGTACATGGCTGAGATTGCTCATTCTATTCTTAAAACAGCCACTGGTGCGGTTCATTGTTATCCGTACTATAGATCTTTTTTGGTTCTGCGTTTTAAACTTAACACGGGGTGAGAAAGTTTCGCTGAGATTAGTGGTTGAGATGCATAGTTTTGCGTACTACAGCTCTTTGGGTTCGGATTTGCGTGGTGGGGTCTTCTATAAATCGTCTACAGAATTGATTTCATAGGGCGACACATAACCTCTCCAACATTCCTTCCAAATGTACAGAATTCCTGAAAGAAAATTAATAAAAGGGATTCAGAGAAGTAAAAGTAAAGAGGTCAAAGACACGACTCACCACCGTCCCTTATGATCCCTTAAAGGCACGTCATGGATTGCTTGCAAAGTTGCGTAAATTCCGAGATGCAATTGCATCACTATCGTTTACAACCACACAGCTGGGATGGCCTTGTTGATTCGGTTACAGACGTAATCGGTAGAGTTCTTACATACTGCGAACTTACTGTAGTAACTCTGGTATAAATAGCACAATACCTGTACATAAATGTGTATTCTATAAACTAGTTAGGTTCAGCATATAAAGGGTTATTCGCCATAAAGAAGCGCAACTCCACCTGGAGACCAACAATCCACTATGATTCTTAGAGTATAAAGATCCAAAGATAGAGAAACAAACCACTAGAAAGACAAAAAGAACATATATATGTAAGTAAAGAGGAGAGAGGAATGAAATCAGAATGATTCCAACGTGGAAGTTCTACCAAACCTATTCCGTTAAGAAAGAAATGTGAGAGAATGTGAGTCTCTCTTTAAACCCCAGTCGAAGAGATTACTTATTCCCCTGATAAAACCTAGTTACTGCAAGTGTTGATTTCCCCCAGTTCGTCATGGAACGTCTAGGTCAGTGGGAAATCGCTCAATCGCCTATAGTTCCTTTGCATCTTCGTATATCCTACAATATTCCGGTTTATAACAGTCTCACTTACTTTCAAAGGCACTAATTGAGCAATGACCTGTAAAGATTCCTGGCAGAATTCTTAGACTGCTAATATCCAGACCTATAAGCTTCCCTCACATTAAGTATTGGCGATAAGGCCTATTTTGCAATTCATTCTACTATTCCAGGACTGGTAGATGATGTCTCTCGAAAATCAACCTAGAATAGTGACAGATAAGTGGTTTCACTCGTCTATTCTTATTAACTATGTTCGAACCTAATCTAGCTAGTTCGTCAGCAACCTCATTACCATGAACTGCACACAGTCTAATAGTAAACAGTCTCATACTGTTCCTAAGAGCATTTCTACAAATCTGTCAATGCTCTAAGTTCAGCTTGACTAACGACATAAACTATCAACCGAATTATCCTCATATGGAAATTAACTCTTCAATATTTTATTTTTAAAATCATACACATTTTCTTAATTAGGTTGTCATTTTGTGTTTAATGTTGTAGTTATATGTATAACTCTAGTTAATATAAATCTATGCTCCCTTATTTAAAATACCGATATAATAATTATTTTTATATCAACAGGTTTCTTGGATCCGGCAGTATTAATTGAAGGTGTGCTATTTCGTGCCCGTTACTTAGGCTCCACACAATTAGTATGTGAGGGTCAACCCACAAAATCTACAAGAATGATGCAAGCCGAAGAGGCGGTATCACGTATAAAGGTGAGTACAAGTTTCAAGTTTTATTCTATAAAATCGATGTATTATTATATACCCCACTTCTAAGCTAGAAACATTTAATTGAAAACATTTAAACTAAATTATTGAAACATTTCCCTTTTATTAAATGCTGCTTAATTAATAATGTTGATTAAAAAAAAAATTCGCTTAATATTAGGCTTTGGTAAGTTAATTTAACTAATCCCATTAAATTAAATAGACTCAATAGAAAAACTCCTGAAATGTTTTATAAATATGTTATTTTTAAACTCATTAATTACAGGCACCCGAAGGCGAAAATCAACCTTCTACCGAAGTCGATTTATTCATATCAACCGAAAAGATTATGGTCCTTAATACAGACCTCAAAGAAATAATGATGGATCATGCTTTACGTACCATTTCCTATATTGCCGATATTGGTGATTTAGTTGTATTAATGGCACGTAGAAGATTTGTCCATTCCGATCCTTGTTCGGCGGCGGCAGACAATGAATCATCCGCTGGTAATTCTAAAGATAAAGATTCCAAAGAGAATGGTTCCACAACTGCCGCGTCAAACAAACAGAATCGTACACCAAAAATGATTTGTCACGTTTTCGAAAGTGATGAAGCTCAATTTATAGCTCAATCCATAGGCCAAGCCTTTCAGGTGGCCTACATGGAATTCCTTAAAGCCAACGGTATTGAAAATGAGAATTTAGCTAAAGAAATGGATTACCAAGAGGTGCTCAATAGCCAAGAGATTTTCGGTGATGAATTGGAAATCTTTGCTAAAAAAGAATTACAAAAGGAGGTTGTTGTACCAAAAGCCAAAGGTGAAATCCTGGGTGTTGTCATTGTAGAATCCGGTTGGGGTTCTATGTTGCCCACAGTTGTTATAGCAAATCTTATGTCTGGTGGTGCGGCTGCACGCTGTGGCCAGTTGAATATTGGAGATCAATTGATAGCGATTAATGGCTTAAGTTTAGTCGGTCTTCCTTTGTCAACATGTCAGAATTATATACGTAATGCTAAAAATCAAACGGCGGTTAAATTTACTGTTGTACCATGTCCTCCGGTGGTTGAGGTGAAAATATTGCGTCCTAAAGCACTATTCCAATTAGGTTTTAGTGTACAGAATGGAGTGGTGAGTAATGAAGAAAGAATTTTAACTTCAGAGTCGAGTTCTCTTTACTAAAATTGTGCTTTTTTTGGTTTATTAGATTTGTAGTTTATTGCGCGGCGGTATAGCGGAACGTGGTGGTGTTCGAGTTGGTCATCGTATTATTGAAATTAACAATCAAAGTGTTGTGGCTGTGCCACACGATACCATTGTCAAACTCCTGTCATCCTCAGTGGGAGAGGTAAGTGTGAAAGCTTTATATTTTTTATATTGTTCATTTTACATTTTTTTTATATTTGTTATATTTTTGTATAGACTTTATTCTAGAATAGACAAGATTATAGACTAGACTATACTAGTTTATAGACTAGACTATACTAGTTTATAGACTAGACTATAGACTAGATTATAGTCTAGACTATAGACTAGACTATAGACTAGATAATAAACTGGACTATAGACTAGACTAAAGACTAGACTATAGACTAGACTATAGACTAGACTATAGACTAGACTATAGACTAGACTATAGACTAGACTATAGACTAGACTATAGACTAGAATATAGACTAGAGTATAGACTAGACTATAGGCTAGACTATAGACTAGACTACAGACTAGACTATAGACTAGACTATAGACTAGACTATAGACTAGACTATAGGCTAGACTATAGACTAGACTATAGACTGGACTAAAGACTAGCCTATGGACTAGACTATAGACTAGATTATAGACTAGACTATAGACTAGACTAGACTATAGACTAGACTATAGACTAGACTATAGACTAGACTATAGACTAGACTATAGACTAGACTATAGACTAGACTAGACTATAGACTAGACTAGACTATAGACTAGACTATAGACTAGACTAGACTATAGACTAGACTATAGACTAGACTATAGACTAGACTATAGACTAGACTATAGACTAGACTATAGACTAGACTAGACTATAGACTGGACTATAGACTAGACTATGGACTAGACTATAGACTAGATTATAGACTAGACTATAGACTAGACTATAGACTAGACAATAGGCTGGACTATAGACTAGACTATAGACTGGGCTTTAGACTAGACTATAGACTAGACTATAGAATGTACTATAGACTAGACAATAGACTGTACTATAGACTAGACAATAAACTGGAATATAGACTAGACAATAGGCTAGACTATAGACTAGACAATAGGCTGGACTATAGACTAGACTATAGACTGGGCTATAGACTACACTATAGCCTGTACTATAGACTAGACAATAGGCTAGACTATAGGCTAGAATATAGGCTAGATTATAGACTAGACTATAGGCTAGACTATAGGCTAGACTATAGGCTAGAATATAGGCTAGACTATAGACTAGACTATAGGCTAGACTATAGACTAGACTATAGACTAGACTATAGACTAGACAATAGACTAGACTATAGACTAGACTATAGACTAGACTATAGACTAGACTATAGACTAGACTATAGACTAGACTATAGACTAGACTATAGACTAGACTATAGACTAGACTATAGACTAGACTATAGACTAGACTATAGGCCAGACTATAGACTAGACTATAGACTAGACTAAACCCTAGACTAGACTATAGACTAGACTATAGACTAGACAATAGACTAGACTATAGACTAGACTATAGACTAGACTATAGACTAGACTATAGACTAGACTATAGACTAGACTATAGACTAGACTATAGTCCAGACTATAGACTAGACTATAGACTAGACTAAACCCTAGGCTATAGACTAGACTATACCCTAGACTATAGACTAGACTATAGACTAGACTATAGACTAGACTATAGACTAGACTATAGACTAGACTATAGACTAGACTATAGACTACTATAGACCAGACTATAGACTAGACTATAGACTAGACTATAGACTAGACTATAGACTAGACTATAGACTAGACTATAGACTAGACTATAGACTAGACTATAGACTAGACTATAGACTAGACTATAGACTAGACTATAGACTAGACTATAGACTAGACTATAGACTAGACTATAGACTAGACTATAGACTAGACTATAGACTAGACTATAGACTACTATAGACTAGACTATAGACTAGACTATAGACTAGACTATAGACTAGACTATAGACTAGACTATAGACTAGACTATAGACTAGACTATAGACTAGACTATAGACTAGACTATAGACTAGCCTATAGACTAGACTATAGACTAGACTATAGACTAGACTATAAACTAGACTATAGACTAGACTATAGACTAGACTATAGACTAGACTATAGACTAGACTATAGACTAGACTATAGACTAGACTATAGACTAGACTACAGACTAGACTATAGACTAGACTATAGACTAGACTATAGACTAGACTAGACTAGACTAGACTATAGACTAGACTATAGACTACTATAGACCAGACTATAGACTGTACTCTAGACTAGACAATAAACTGGACTATAGACTAGACTATAGGCTAGACTATATACTAGGCTATATACTAGACTATAGACTGTACTATAGACAATAAACTGGGCTATAGACTAGACTAGACAATATGCTAGACTATAGGCTAGACTATAGACTATACTATAGACTAGACTATAGACTAGACTATAGACTAGACTATAGACTAGACTATAGACTAGGCTATAGACTAGACTATAGACTAGAATTTAGACTAGACTATAGACTAGACTATAGACTAGACCATAGACTAGACTACAGACTAGACAATTAACTAGACTATAGACTAGACTATAGACTAGACTATAGCCTAGACTATAGACTGTACTATAGACTAGACAATAAACTGGACTATAGACTAGACTACAGATTAGACTATATACTAGACTATAGACTGTGCTGTAGACAATAACCTGGACTATAGACTAGACTATAGACTAGACTATAGACTAGACTATAGACTAGACTATAGACTAGACTATAGACTAGACTATAGACTAGACTATAGACTAGACTATAGACTAGACTATAGACTAGACAATAGGCTGGACTATAGACTAGACAATAAACTGGGCTATAGACTAGACCAGACAATATGCTAGACTATAGGCTAGACTATAGACTATACTATAGACTAGACTATAGATTAGACTATAGACTAGACTATAGACTAGACTATAGACTAGACTATAGACTAGACTATAGACTAGACTATAGACTAGACTATAGACTAGACTATAGACTAGACTATAGACTATACTATAGACTAGACTATAGACTAGACTTTAGACTAGACTATAGACTAGACTTTAGACTAGACTATAGTTAGACTAGACTAGTCTAGACTATAGACTAGACTATAGACTAGACTATAGACTAGACTATAGACTAGACTATAGACTAGACTATAGACTAGACTATAGACTAGACTATAGACTAGACTATAGACTAGACTATAGACTAGACTATAGACTAGACTATAGACTAGACTATAGACTAGACTATAGACTAGACTATAGACTAGACTATAGACTAGACTATAGACTAGATTATAGACTAGACTTTAGACTAGACTATAGACTAGACAATAGACTAGACCATAGACTAGACTAGAGGCTAGACTACAGACTAGACAATTAACTAGACTATAGACTAGACTATAGACTAGACTATAGACTAGACTATAGCCTAGACTATAGACTGTACTATAGACTAGACAATAAACTGGACTATAGACTAGACTACAGATTAGACTATATACTAGACTATAGACTGTACTGTAGACAATAACCTGGACTATAGACTAGACTAGACTAGACTATAGACTAGACTATAGACTAGACTATAGACTAGACTATAGACTAGACTATAGACTAGACTATAGACTAGACTATAGACTAGACTATAGACTAGACTATAGACTAGACTATAGACTAGACTATAGACTAGACTATAGACTAGACTATAGACTAGACTATAGACTAGACTATAGACTAGACTATAGACTAGACTATAGACTAGACTATAGACTAGACTATAGACTAGACTATAGACTAGACGATAGACTAGACTATAGACTAGACTATAGACTAGACTATAGACTAGACTATAGACTAGACTAGACTAGACTAGACTATAGACTAGACTATAGACTAGACTATAGACTAGACTATAGACTAGACTATAGACTAGACTAGACTAGACTATAGACTAGACTAGACTATAGACTAGACTATAGACTAGACTATAGACTAGACTATAGACTAGACTATAGACTAGACTATAGACTAGACTATAGACTAGACTATAGACTAGACTATAGACTAGACTATAGACTAGACTATAGACTAGACTATAGACTAGACTATAGACTAGACTAGACTAGACTATAGACTAGACTATAGACTAGACTATAGACTAGACTATAGACTAGACTATAGACTAGACTATAGACTAGACATAGACTAGACTATAGACTAGACTATAGACTAGACTATAGACTAGACTATAGACTAGACTATAGACTAGACTATAGACTAGACTATAGACTAGACTATAGACTAGACAATAACATGGACTATAGACTAGACTACAGATTAGACTATATACTAGACTATAGACTGCACTGTAGACAATAACCTGGACTAGAGACTAGACTACACTATAGACTAGACTATAGACTAGACTATAGACCAGACTATAGACTAGACTATAGTCTAGACTATAGTCTAGACTATAGACTAGACTATAGACTAGACTATACTCTAGACTATAGTCTAGACTGTAGACTAGAGGACTAAACTATAGACTAGACTATAGACTAGACTATAGACTAGACTATAGACTAGACTATAGACTAGACTATAGACTAGACTATAGACTAGACTATAGACTAGACTATAGTCTAGACTGTAGACTAGACTATAGACTAGACTATAGTCTAGACTGTAGACTAGACTAGACTAAAGCCTAGACTATAGACTTGACTATAGACTAGACTATAGACTAGACTATAGACTAGACTATAGACTAGACTATAGACTAGACTATAGACTAGACTATAGACTAGACTATAGACTAGACTATAGACTAGACTATAGACTAGACTATAGACTAGACTATAGTCTAGACTATATACTAGACTATAGACTAGACTATAGACTAGACTATAGACTAGACTATAGACTAGACTATAGACTAAACTATAGACTAGACTATAGACTAGACTATAGACTAGACTATAGACTAGACTATAGACT